AGCTTACATTACAATGTTAAAAGTGATGCTCACAAATTGTTGCTGAAAACGAGAAAACATCATTTAACAGTTATTTTGAATAGTGATGAGACAATAAAAATTAATTATTGCTGGATTTAAGAAAGATATTATTTGAAGTAAGTAATGTACGTATTTATGGTAGAAAAATCATCAATAAGTATGTCATAATTTTTTTTGAATCAATGAATGAATTTTAGTTGATTGTTATTGTTGTCATCCAGTTATAAAAATATTAACAGCCCGCAGTGCAATAACAAAAATAAATAAAAATTTAAAAATTGATAACAAATTAACTCTACTTTAAGATAATATTTTAAAGGGATCATTACTTATATTTACAACAATAGTTAAATAATCACAGAGCTTTCAATGTTTTAAAGGCTGCTGTATTCAGTGAAGCTTCAAGCTGTACTTTTCTTTTAGTTGCACATCTGAGATTGCTATATGAGATTAAATTATTTCTTAGATGAAAAAAAAATCTTGTAAAAAAATACAGTGTCTCCTGTACGTATTCGCTATTCGCTATGCGCCTATATGTCAGGTGGCGCCGTCGAGTAAGAGAAATTGTCCCTCGCTAAAATCGCCAGAATGCATGGAGTCTTATAGGAAAACTTTTTAATAAGTTAAAAAAAAGTTTATTAAGAATAGATTGACCAAGTGAATCAGTGATTTAAGTGTGCATGTATTACGTTAATGTACAGTAATAAGTTTTGGTTGATGTTGTCATATGTACTACAAGATTGGGAAAAATATAAACATGGATTGCGACTGTGCTAACACAACATATCTATGTGTATACACATGCTTGCACTTGTATGGAGCTTGAGAAACACAAGTACTGCTTAAATTTATCTATTTCTCACAACACAGTGTTCAATAAAAATTAATACTAATGACAAGTTAGGTTAACTTTTACACATTTATACTACGTTTCCATCTATTACTTGTATTTTTTTAGCTTTACACAAGTGTAAGCATGTATATGCAATCAAATGTGCTGTGTTCTTATAGTCGCAATCCATATTTTCATTTTTTCCAATCTTGTAGTCCACATGGCAACACCAAACAAAATTTATTACTGTACACTAACATGAGACACACTCAAATCACTGATTTATTTGGTCCATTCACTCTTAATGATCTTCTTTTTAATTTATTTAAAAATTTTCCCATAAGACTCCATGCATTCTGGCGATCTTAGCGAGGGACAATTTCTCTCACTCAATGGCGCCACCTGACATAGGCGCATAGCGAATATGGAGTCTGATTTTATTGTTGGAACAGCTGATTTGGATAAAACAAATATATTTGTATCACCAGGGACGGTTAAGTGTTCTGGATTTTTCTCGTTGTCTTGTGTGAAATGTACTAAGCATACCCTACCTACGATAAAAAAATGTTTGACTGTTTATTTATTCGTGTAAAAATATTTATATATAAGTGACCACGATGGCATATTGTAAATATTAATTTATTACACCACTCGAGTTCTGAAGTAAGTGTCATGAGTGCATATATATCTTAAAGTAAACAAAGCAGACTACACAATTCCAACATGGCGGAATTACGGATGTGAGCAGGAACAGTCTCAGTTTTAATCGGTTGGGTAAGGGGTCACACATCTTATTGACTTACATCATGAGGCTTCAGCGCCGCACAAACATAGACTTATACAAATAGACTGCGTGGCCTAACGAGCTGGCTGACGCCAAGACCAGAGAGGGAACGCAATACATACCGTATCTCTTTCTCTTTCTAACCATGAGAGTATTGGGAAGACTAGACTTGTGAAGTTGGCGCCCGTAAATATTAAATATTAATATTTTGCACCCATTCAGGGCTTAAACGATTCCTTCTTACTTGCGGATTTGTCCTCCACTTGAATTTTTATTTGCGGATCAATAGTTTGCGAGATATTTGCAAAATAAAAAGTCGAAAATGGGCGCGGCGCTGAAGTATAAAAAACTTTGTTTTAAGTGCTAAATTGGGTAAAAATTCAATTCTACCGGTAAGATTCGATTCCTCCTCATTTGCGGATTACGGAGGTATATAAATTAATGTAATTAAATGTCACAAAGTTTGTAAATGATGAATTTAATTATTGAGTGAGAGAATCTAGTAACTTTTGTCTAGTGACTTTTGGTCCAGTGCTCCGTTCCTGTTGTTCCGTACATGTCGCTTACTCCTTACAGCGGGTTCTACAAAATATTTATCGGAATAGAAAACTTTAGTAGGTATTAATCTATTAATTATCAGTTATAAGTTATTCAGCCTTCGGGTCAATACACACACACACACACACACACACACACACACACACACATTTTTTAATGACTATGCAATCTAGTGTAAGCCCATTTAATAAACATTTTTAAAATTAAGTACTTGTTAATTTATTACTGGGGCTGTGTTTGCATAGGCTCCGTTTGTAGTATGTTAAGGTCACGTGATCATTTATGATTAGTGCGAGTGAGACGTTGATATCATGCTGTCTCCCTCGCACTTATGATAAATGATCACGTGACCTTAACAAACCTAATAACAAACAAAGCCTTAGGCGAACACAGCCTGTGTCACTTTGATCCGTTTCCACTGGTCGGTAACTTGATCTTCAATTTGCCTGATTGATCATTTACGCGCGAAATTTGAATGCTTGAGCCGTTTTCTAAAACTTGTCCAAACAAAATTATTACTTGTGTGCTTAGCTGTGGCTTGTCTTGGGATGATTATAGCTGTACTGCTACTTTTTAGTTGTGTTGTTATTTGTTTCTTGAATAACAACAAATATTAAAATTTCGCGCGTAATGAATAAATATCAGTCCACAGTATTTGCCACAATAGATTCCAGATATTAGATTCTTAAGATGAAAAATCTGTACCTATTGACAAATAAATTTTTCCTTGAGCTTGAAGTATGTAATGTATGTGTGTGTGTGTGTATTGACCCGAAGGCTGAATAACTTATAACTGATAATTAATAGATTAATACCTACTAAAGTTTTCTATTCCGATAAATATTTTGTAGAACCCGCTGTAAGGAGTAAGCGACATGTACCGAACAACAGGAACGGAGCACTGGACCAAAAGTCACTAGACAAAAGTTACTAGATTCTCTCACTCAATAATTAAATTCATCATTTACAAACTTTGTGACATTTAATTACATTAATTTATATACCTCCGTAATCTGCAAATGAGGAGGAATCGAATCGTACAGGTAGAATTGGATTTTAACCCAATTTAGCACTTAAAACAAAGTTTTTTATACTTCAGCGCCGCGCCCATTTTCGACTTTTTATTTTGCAAATATCTCGCAAACTATTGATCCGCAAATAAAAATTCAAGTGGATGACAAATCCGCAAGTAAGGAGGAATCGTTTAAGCCCTGAATAGATGCAAAATATTAATATTTAATATTTACGGGCGCCAACTTCACAAGTCTGGGAAGACTTCTGGAAGAGAACTCCGTCCACCCGTGTGGATAGAGTAGAGGGACTAGAGGGGCATCAGGTCCCACCTAAAAAAATGTCGGAATTCTATGTAGAATAACTACTTCTGTAAAACTTTCAGAAAAGCTATATGGCATTCCACATGGTTTTATATATGGCATTACATAAAGGGTTTTAGCTTAGTGATGCCATTTGTAATTCCATATAGAAAAACCCATGGAATTACTAATTGAAAAAAGAAAAAATTTCTATTATCTAGAAATAACTGCAAAATACCATAACAAGTTATTTGCAGTTATCAATTTGTCTTACAATCGGGATGATAACTCCAAAACAAGGGGGTTTAGCTGATGTTACTTCTATAGAAAAAAATTAAATTTTTTTTATTTTCTTTTTTTTATTCCTGAAATATAACTTGAATCCCCTTGTTTTCAAGTTATCATCCAGATGGTTACACTAATTGAGGACCCGGATCGAATAACTCGCCCGACGCTCGAAACGGAATCTAAGTTCGCGACCGAGGGGCCGATTTTCAAAAGTCCTTAAATCGCTTTTAAAAAAATACTAGCTTATAGACAGTAAAAAGCCGCATCTTTTTTGTTCATTTAAATTTTTTATCCGGTTAATACTTTGCGAGAAAAAAAATAAATACCGTAATTTCTGAAAACTCAAATCCAATGGATTTTAAAAACATAAATATCGCTGTTTCTCAGCCAATTATTATCGAAATCGTTTGAAACTTGGTATGGGATCGGGGAATACCTTAGCGTTGCTGATAAGTTGATTAGAATTCGTTTTACTTGTCATGAATTATAAATATTTAATGACAACGTGGTAGCGCAATAATTTCCAAACTTGTAAACTTTAACGAAAAAAAGTATGCGGGGAAGTTTCAGCTGGACAAAACTTCCAGCGACAAAGTTGTTCCTTAAGACTCGAAGAAGTTTTCCTCAAAGTTTCAACTCGATTATTCAAGAAACAGCTGAGATACAGAACTTTTTGTAACTACGTACACAGCTGGTAGTAACTGCGCCACGTCGGCTGTGGACCAGCTCCTGCATCAGGTTAGGTCGTCTGCTGCATACTGGTGACAGCTTTTCGCCTGCCGTCTGTCATACGTGCATTGTAGGGATGTCAATTCGATATCGATTTTCGAATATTCGAATACATTTGAATATTCGGAAAAAAACAAAAAAAAATTACGGAGGTAATTAATTGCATGTAGAGTGGTTTAATCAAAGAAATAAACAATTTATATAGAAACAGATTGCACCTTTGACATTTTTAGAATGAACATTTTTTTTTTTTTTATTTAATTATTTATTTACATTCAAACACATTTGAACACATTTTAAACATTCGGAAATAATATAAATTAACCGCACATTGTGCATCAAAACAAAAATAAGGAGCTAATGAATAAAATCATGGAAAGTATCTCTTAAACAGTATCAGTCTTGAGACATGGAAATTATAGGTACATAGTTATTTGGCATAGAAAATCACATAAAGATCATATAGAAAAACACATCATTCAAACCACAAAGCGTTGTCACATGATCTTAAGAATACTAGTATTTCTAGTAACTTTCCCGACAGCCGAGTTCGTAGCTGATTTTTAATCAAGCCCGCGTTGGAGAAGAGACGTTCTGATGGCACAGACGTTGCCAAGATAGAAAGGTTTTCTTGCGCCACCTGGTACACATACTTATACTCTCCTTTAATCGCTGCCCATGCACGAAGGGGATTCGGGAAATCTTTGCGCTTAACGGGGGCGCTGTCCAAATACATGCGAAACTGGATTGGTATTCCTCCTGCCATATCTTGGCCGGATTGTGCAGCCGATCTTCCCTCAACCTCCTTGTCAAATGAATCCCAGAAGCTGTCGCTCTGCTCTGCAACCGTGCTCTGGGCCTCAGGAACCTTATCAGACAGCGGCTGGGTGCTTCCTTTAGCCATCTTCTTTTTGACTAGGTCGCCTGTTAAAATATTATAATTTGGCCTCTTTTCTCGGGTAATATAGAAGCAATCGACGGACGATAAAATACGGACAGAAAAAACTCATAGCATTCGCTATACTGCGTCGACTTGATATATCCTGCCAGAATCTAAACTTTTTAAAGCGCGGATCCAATAGTGTAGCTGCAGCATACATGGGCACTTCCTCTATGCTGGCAAAAGCATCTCGCAGTAAGGTGGTCAGATTTTCTTTGAGAGCACATGCCTCAGGCTCAGTCAGCAGGTAGTCGTCAATTTCCTGCAAAAAAAGTTCAATAAATTCTGCACAATAAAAAAGACAACCATAAATTATGAAAAAAAAAAATTACTCTCCTGAGGTTATTTATCACAGGGATAGATTTACTTAGCGTCACTATTTTATCTGTGCTCACTTCTTTAGTAGCTCGTGCTAGGGGCGCTAATAGGTCTCGAATCTCCTTCAATATATACTCCTCCATAGGGGATATGAGTTCAGGCGCCCTCTCTTTGCTCGCTCGTGTGCGTTGTAATTCTAACACTACCCGGGTAACGAGAGGAGCAAGATAAATGTACCTGCAAAAGGAAATGTAAATACTGATTGTAGAGACGGTCAAGCCTGTCACTGGATATAACACAAGCAGACAAGCACACACTATATGTTAACGCACCTGTCCAGCATGTCAAAACAGGAGTTCCACCTAGTCTTAACTTTCTGTATGAGGTTCAGACACTTACTGTCCAATTTGCCATGCTCGTCTTTCTGAAGCTCACGAAGTTTTAGAGAGGCAATTTCACTTTTCTTAAAAAACGTAACTTTTCTCTTAACTTTGTTGAGGATTGTTCTAAAGTTGGTGCTGCCTGCCTCCACCTCCACCTCGTCATCAATATCGTCCTCGTCGTCAGGTACCTCGGGCTCTGGAGATGTCCGCTCTGAGGGAAGGGTGCTTATGTTCCCGATTGCCTTCTGCCCGATTAGATCGAAGCGATGGCTAAGGTACGATAAATGTTTTCCCGCTCCAAATTCTTGCTTAGCTGCTGCCTTAATGTTTGCTCCGCCATCTGTTACCACGGCGCGCACTTTGTTATAATTAATTTTCCAGTCATCGCGACACATCTCTCTCATTGCTACTACTAGGTTAGCGGTGGTTGTCCTTTGATCCATTTGTCTGGCACCTATTTCAAAAGTGGTGATCTCAGAACCTAAAAACATAAATAAAATGTATTGGTACTTTCCCGAGCTTTGCGTGCACCTGCGCAAAGAAAAACAACCGCGTAGTGTTCTTCGAAGCTGCCTTGGTACGTGGTGCGCGGAGTGGCACCGCGAAAATATATTTAGACGTTAGTTCTATTACCTGAAGTAATGTGCACGGTTACACCTAAGAAGCTGCGCATAGTTTAGCGCTGTGTCCAAATGTCCATCGTAAGGCAGATGTGATCAGCTTTCTCAATCATCACACTGACCCGTCCTCTTAATAGCTCATACTTTTCGATGAGCATTTTCCTTATTGTTGGTTCGGACGGCAGTTTGTATAGAGGTTGCAGCGTCTGAGCAAATTTGCGAAACCCCGGTCGCTCTGTTGTGCTAAGAAGCATGTTATCCTTTGCTATCATGTACAACAAAGAGTTGGTACACTGGGCATCTCTTTGGCCCCCGGCTAACAAAGGAAACACATTGCAAATTTTGGTACATTTAGTACAAGTACTTTTACTCCAAAATGTGTGATACTCACCGGAGAATGCGTTTAGGTTATTAATGTACTTCTCAATTGAATCAAAGCTGCCCGAGGGAGGTGTAGGTTTAGGTATTTGATCTCGGTCCTGTAATTAGTTAGTTGGGATTATTGACAAGCAACTTGCGGGAAGAAAATATTTATGTACTTACTGTGTTTTTACAAAAGAAAACGGTTCCCCGCCCTTCCGCTCCCCTCTCCCACCTCACGCTTTTAGTAAGTAACTCCAAAATCCATAGAGATATAAGAATAAAGTGCACTATCTCCACCTAGCCCTGTACTCTGCAGTGATGCCAGGAGCGAGAGATAAAGCTGCCGAGAGGCCCCTCTTGCTGTCTCTCTCTAATAAGACGAGCATATAAACGCAGTACAGATAGCAAGAGGGGCCTCTCGGCAACTTTCTCTCTCGCTCCTGGCATCACGGTTTTGGCTTCATACTTGCTCTATTCTTATATCTCTATGCCAAAATCATCTCAAGTGAATGTGCAGAAACTAACCTGTACAGGAAACCTCGGATATCCAGTGTCCTCTTCAATATCGCTGCCGACACAAGCAACCGATGCTGTCCTTTTTTTTCCCTTTAGAGGGTAGCGACAGCAGGTCAATTTTGTGAATTCCTACTAGATGAGCTCTTAAATTTGAGGTTGTACCCTTGTAGACCAATAAAGAGTTACACTGGCGGCACTTTGCTTTAGTATCATTCTCGACTTTGCTGAAGTACGTCCAGACGGAACTAGGTGCCATTAATATTTAGCTTTATACTAATAATATTACTACTAATAATAAACAACACGTAAACGGACAATTTAAATTTTTGAAATGACCGCGCCAGCAATGCAGCAAACACAACACACAAGCACACAACGGACACAACCACTGAAGAAAATAAAGTGCGCGTTCCAAAATAGTAGCAGAATATCTGCTAGCAGGATTTTTTACGAAATGCGGCAACGTTTCACATGCTAAAAGCAATCAACCTGCCATGACTGACCAGAACTATAGTAGATATCCGTCACGGTTCCATGCGGCGTTGCCACTAACCTGCTAGCAGACACTTTTCTTCTCATTTTGGAACGCGAGGAAAAGCGGACTACCGGAACTACCAACTGCGAATAATAAAATGAGATTCGAGATTCGAGATCGACTCGAGAGGCCTCGGAGTGCTTCGGAGCAGCTTATAAATATATTTGGGATGTTTTAATATTTTCGAATATTCGAAACTATTATTCGAATACAGCGAATATTCGAAACATGATATTCGAACTCGAATAGTGGGGTATTCGAAATCGATTATTCAAATACATTCGATATTCGAGTTCGAACTTTCCATCCCTAGTGCATTGTTTACACTTTATCCATGAGACAGGAGCTGGACGTGTCGATTGAGCTTATCAGAGATTAGAAGGGAGATTGCCAGCGCCTATGGTAGAGAGTGTGTCGATTTTTTTCCACTGATTTGAGCGCCCCGTCGCGGCAGACCAGTCGAACTATACGCACGTTTACAGCAGCGGAGGGGAAGATCAAACGTGCGTACGATAGCCCGATAGGTACCTAGTAGAAGGGGAAGGAATATGTGCGTACACATGTGTATAACTATAAACGTTTTGGCTGCCTCCTGCCTGAGCTCCGAGTCGAGTCCCTCGGCTCTCGGCTATCGCTGCAGCTCTCGCATGCACGTATATACCTATATATGTTTCCGATGCGCTGTATTCCCTCAGAAAAGATTTTGTTATAAATGTTGGACAGTTACGTATGTTATTATGTCCGGTAATAAATTACTCGTTAAATAGGTAAGTATTAAAAATATTTGTACAGCTAAATATCGTTTAATACTGAGTTTTTTCTCGTTTAAAGTGACAAATCGAGTAATGATTACGTGAGTCCCGATATTTAATGTAAGTTCTCGGAACTTCTCGATAAAATTATTATTTTTACAACTCGCATAATGTATGTTATTATAGGTACACAAAATAAAATTGTACATGATATATAAATACGACGTACCGTAACGTTGGAAATTACTAATTCTTTAATAAATATTTGCTTATTAAAATTTTTTCAACTAAATAAGAGCTCTTTGCTTTTATCTTAACGTTTATTTAGCAATAAAAGACTTTTCAAGAATTAAAATGTCGTTCTTCGATAGATGTAACATTTTCAATAAGAATAAGTATTTATTAAAATGTTCAGAAAAGTATTAGTTCTGCTTTAAAGTAGTTATATTTTAACTCAATTACCAATAGAGAAAAAAACTTCAACTGAAACCTTGGAGCTCCATTATAAACCTATGTCTCTTTATGCACCTGTATTATATGTGAGGCAGGGTTCAATAATTGACGTGTACACTCAAGGAGCTGTGAGGATAGACTCGCTTTATTTCAGGCGCTGTAATACATATATATATATATAGCAAAGCGTTCAAAGCGAGGCTAACATATACGCAGGATCACATACACTACAGCACCCATTAGACCAATGTGCTAGTAGTCGAGGCAGCTAAGTACTCTGCCATACCTATCTACTATAATCACTCCCGGGTTCAAATCACCGACGGTGTAAATATTTTTTTTTTTACATTTGTTTTTTTTTTTCCCCTTTTATTTCGATATTACTTAGTGTAAAATTTTTTTAATAATTCTATTTTATTTTCATGTTTACGTTGCGTAACGAATACTCTTAGTTTATTCATTCGTGGGGGGATTTTTTTAAATTTAAAGTATTTTTTGTAACAATATAATGCTAATAACGAGGCACATGTTTATTAACATTTCATCCTCGTTCAGATGGCTATGCAACTATTATTGGTATATTTAAAAATTATTCAAATAACTCAAGTTATTTCACGCTGGATTGACAAAGTGCTATTATTAACACTTTAAAAGAGGATCACACCTTTTATAACCTAATTAACGTATTCGTTCAATAATATATAATTGGTCAATAATATTTTCCCCTTACGTACATATATTCATGAAAAGAAACAGAATCGTTTGCAACTGCGCAACGACAATTTTATTACCCAACCCCTTAAACATTTATGAATTAGCATAAAAACTTCAACTTAAAAAAAAAAAACCTTTTATTCTTCGTTACTCCAACGTCAGCCAAGTTTTACTTTCACTTGAGCCTTGAAGCTTTGTTATTAACATATGTTACAATCAATCACTGCAAGGACAGAGTTTCGGTAGCCTAGTTGGTTACGCCACTGAGCGAATTTTTTGCCTCGACAATCTGCCCAAACAACCACCCAGGAGGTACTGTTATTAAGCGTTGTTTGAAGAAGTGATACTTATTATTTTATTTTTATGTAGAAGAAAACACAAAAGATAACTAATACATAAGAACGTTCGTTAACATAATTTTACTTGTGAACATTCTTATTTAATGAAACTTTTTTCTTCTCGAAACAACTTGCTCGGTGCGTTGTGTTTTTTTTTTTTACTTCAAACTTATATACAAATAACAAATATAAATTTATTCATTTACCACGCGCCAGAATACTACTTATGAAAGTAAGTAGTTTTTTTTCTTTCTAAATAGATGTTTGAAGTAAAAATCGTGGAACACCTCGCCGGTAGCCATACTGTAACCACGCTAGTACTTAACAAAATTACAAATTCCGCATACATATGTACAGCTGTAGGATGACTCCTGAGTTTGAAATATTTCAGGAATAAAATTAGAAAATCGGAAAAACTACTTATAAAGCAGCAAAATCTTTTATTTAAAACCTTAAAACAGCGTTGGTTGGTTGCGTATGATATAAAATACGTCGCAAAACATGATGAAGTTTCAACCACAATCTGCAATTTTAATACTAACGTTTTTAAAAAATTACATTTATTCAAGTAGGCACTAATTCTATTTAATTAAAAATACCCCACAGTGTATTGCAGACATTGTTAATTATCATAAAACCAATTAATGAAACAAATATAGTTCTAAAAACCGACGGAGCCGGTGATTTTTTACAAATTTTTTATTTTACGCGGTGCTCGAAAATAATAGAGTTTTAACTTTG